AGGTATTCCTTTATGTCGGAGGAATCATACGCCAACGTGGCACGCAGAGGTCTTGCGCCAAGCTCCGAGTCAAGTGCTACCCAGGTCTTACCTGACGTTCTGGAGGCAGCGCTCAAGGCCCCAACACCCCAGCTGGGGCAGCAGTGCCCCCCTCCTCCTGGAGGGAGAGCACAGCCTGCTTCGCTGGCTCTAGACGGGCGGGCAACTGCCGTACCTGTCCGCACATCGCAGCCCTCTTCTGGGAGAAAGGGCGAAACTCCCGCCCAACCTCCTTAGAGAGGACCTCCGTTCCAAAGAGCGGCACAACCCTCGTGCCGTTTCCTTAGTACCCAAAGGGCCGGAAGGGGCAGAGTTGAAAGACACTCTGCCCAGCACCTCCGCTGTGTCTTCGGCTGGTCGTGGCCAGGGCGTGCCGCCCCGTGCAACGAACCAGCCAAAACCTTTTGGTAAAGGCTCGTCTCCAGAAGTGGAGGCGATGGATGATACCTCTGAGTCTCCCACTCTTGCATCCGACCAGGATGACATGGAGTGGCAGACTCCTAGGCATAAAGGGAAAAAGCCAGTGGTTCTTCCCAGATAACCATTTTTTTAATATTTTGAATTTTTTCAATGCCTCTCTTAATCTTACATTTCAAATTTTTAGATAAATAAAGACTTCGCAATTTATGCAGTGGAGCTGTCGTGGTCTTTTATCGAATATTGATGATGTTGATCATTTTATGGATGATCTCCGGCCCATTGCCCTCGCTTTACAAGAAAATCATCTCCAAGCAAGGGAGGGGGGGAGGGGGAGGGAGGGGAGGGGGTGCTGCGCGTTACCTTGTCGCCAGATCTGGAGATTGAAGCTAACGAAAGCACTCTGGGATTCTATTTCCCATGTATTTTGTCAATAAAGGCAACGTGGGCGTTATTTTGTTTACATGTCACTACTAGAAACTCATTACATAGCACGTAAACAGCGTCTCGGTAAGGATCATGGCCCGGAGAAGGGGGGGGGGGGGGCTCTGCTTTCTCCCCCCCCCCCCCGCCTTTCCGGATCTCAATAGGGGGGTGACGAGCCCGATGCCCCCCCCCCCTCCCCCCCCCCCCCCCCCCCCCTCTTCGAAGTCTACGCCTATAGCTTTGGAATTCGTGGTCGTAATCTGCAGTGCATAAAAGATTCTTTAACAGACAGGACGTTTCAGGTTCGACTAGGGCCCGTATATTGTCGGATCCATTCGTTCAAGAAAACGGCGTTCCCCAGGGAGGGTATTCTGAGGGTCACACTCTTTATAATCAAAATGAATTCTCTCGCTCAGGTTTTGCCACCGTCCATTACATACTCGCTTTAAGTTGACAATATCCAGATCTCAGCATCGTCATGCAATTTTTCGAGCTGTGAGCGCCAGCTACAGCTTGCCATAAATAAGCTTGCCAAGTGGGCGGATGAAAATGGTTTCAAGCGTTCGCCCGAGAAAAGCGTCTGCGTCCCATTATCTTTACGCCATTGTCTGTCACTTGATCCATCCCTGAAACTGCAAAGAACTTGCATCCCTGTCTGGTTCTTAGGTGTCAACTTTAACAAAAGCTCAATTCTATTTCGCACCTGAAGTCACTAAAACAAAAACAAAAAAAGTCTCCTAACCGCAAATGTTCTAAAAGTCTTAGCCCATAAAACCTGGGGATCAGATAGAAAATACCTTCTACATTTGTACAATGCTCTTGTTCGAACCGTGCACGACCGTCCGCCCTCAAGATGTTGGATCCAGTCCATCACCTTGGACTGCGAGTCGCAACAGGTGCTTTTCGGATGTCCACTGTCCTCAGTTTGTATGCTGAATCAAATGAGATTTCACTCGAGAAAAGACGTCAACATCTAAGCTTAACATATTACTACAAGAGACTTGCTAACCGTAATCATCCGACCTACCACTCCCTGCAAGAATCCATATTTTGCCGCCTCTTTGAGAAGAAGCCAAGCATCGTAAGACCCTTGAGTTTCCGAGTACAGCAATTTTGTTCCTCACTTTATCTTTGTTTGGACGAAGTTAATCTTACGCAGAATGTAGACTGTGTTGCCCCCTGGGACATAGTGCCATTTGCTTGTGACTGGGCTCTCGCAAGGTTTAATAAACATAGCGTCTCTGCCCTTATCATCCGGCAGGAATTTTCTGAGCTTGAGAGGAAGTATGAAGGCTACACACATTTTTACACCGATGGTGCCAAGACGTCGTCATTTGTTGGCAGCGCCGTGCATTCTGATTTGTTAAAGTGAAACGCCTAAATGCTCTCTCCAGTTTTTTTACAGCGGAAGTTTATGCAATATCTATGGCCATAGATTATATTCTCCGGGCTAAAATCAGCAGATTTTCCTATTTGTAGACTCTCAGAGTGCTGTTATTACAATATGCTATTTGAGAATTACTCAGAATATGCTGGTGCGGCAACTTCAAAATAAGCTTAATAAAGCTGAACATAGAGGCCTTGAAATAAAATTTTGTTGGGTGCACAGTCATATGGGAATACAAGGTAATGAGGAAGAAGACAGAGTGGCTACCATCCTCATGTAATCTTTCCCCATCTCACGCCTGTTTGCCACACCAAGACGTTAAACCGCTAACAAACTCATCCCTTGTTCGTTTATGGCAGTCTGAATGGAACATGGTGTGCAACAATAAACTTCATATTACAAAGCCGGTCCTTGAGCTCTGGGGGAGCTCTTCTCTGTGAGAATAGCTCTGGGAGAGCTCTTCTCACAGGAACCGATTCCATGAAGTATTGTTGTGTCGTCTTCGAATAGGTCATTCTTACATTTCGCACAAATATCTTCTTAGTGGGGAGGACCCACCGGTGTGTGAACATTGTGGGGATACGCTTACCATCATGCAAATCTTGTGGCTCTGCCCAGCTTGAAACAATGAACGTCGTACTCACATTCCTGAATTGTTTCACTTTCAAACCCCATTCCATCCTGCTCTATTACTGGGAGAATATCCCCTCATCCCATTTGACCGTGTGTTGTATTTGATTACTAGCACGTTTTATTATTATGATGCAATTAAATGCAAAGGTGCAAGCGAGCTGGACAAGAATGACGAAAATAATCCCCGGAGAAGAGGAACAAGAGGGACAAAGGACAAACACAAATCTCCAAACACAGCTAGGTGACTGGTGAGCGACCGAAAAAATCCGCCTGGTTCGGGTATCGAACCCGGGACCTCTCCATTACAGATGGAGCGCTCTACCAACTGAGCTAACCAGGGGTTAGACGTCAGTAGAGCAAACGGGTTTTATCAGCCGCCACCAGTCTAACAACAACAAGGGTGAAGCTTGCAATTTTAAGGTTATGAGTATGATGCAATTAAATGCAAAGGTGCAAGCGAGCATCACAAGAATGACGAAAATAATCCCTGGAGAAGGGGAACAAGAGGGACAAAGGACAAACACAAATCTCCAAACACAGCTAGGTGACTGGTGAGAGGTCCCGGGTTCGATACCCGGACCAGGCGGATTTTTTCGGTCGCTCACCAGTCACCTAGCTGGGTTTGGAGATTTGTGTTTGTCCTTTGTCCCTCTTGTTCCCCTTCTCCAGGGATTTCCTCATTCTTGTCCAGCTCGCTTGCACCTTTGCATTTCATTGCATCATAATCATAACCTTAAAATTGCAAGCTTCACCCTTGTTGGTGTTAGACTAGTGGCGGCTGATAAAACCCGTTTGCTCTAATGACGTCTAACCCCTGGTTAGCTCAGTTGGTAGAGCGCTCCACCTGTAATGGAGAGGTCCCGGGTTCGATACCCGGACCAGGCGGATTTTTTCGGTCGCTCACCAGTCTCCTAGCTGTGTTTGGAGATTTGTGTTTTTCCTTTGTCCCTCTTGTTCCCCTTCTCCAGGGATTATTTTTGTCAATCGACGTTTTATTAATCAGATCTAGTCCTGCATAGCTAATTATTTTGTTGCACATTAACAATAACAGCTTGTTTTCTTTTTAATTTTGTTTGGTGCAGTACGACCTCCGTAGCTGTTGTGCCATAAAACCCCCCAACAACAACATTGGTCGCCTCATCAATTGTCATTTGTGACAATATAATCTGGTGGCTCTGCGGTGAAAAGTGTGTCGTGGATACATGACTGCATAAATTTCAAATTGGAATTTTTTCATTGACATCTTCCCTCCGAGATAAAGTAATCAATAGGAATCCGTACGTTATTTCGCTAAATACTTAACTGTCCATCTGGCTGCTTTTTTTCTAAGGGAACAACGCCCGTCGTATCGTTTCCTGCTCTTACCGGAACGTTTTCCAAGTATTCGGGATGTACCCAGGAGGTTTTGAAATTACACGCTCGTGTTATTCTCTATATAAGCCCCCGCGCACTGATCTTTGTCCGACATTCAAGACTGACACCAAAAAACACCGAACCCCAAGGAAAAAATAAAACCTGAAAAAAACACCCCCAACTTTGAATGAATATAAAGCCCGAAACTTAGAACCCTAGTAATAACATATCGCGGGCAGAGGTGGAAGGGATACGTTCCTTGCAGTGTCGGCTTTTTTTCCTTTCCACATCCAGAGACGACGAAAGCCCCAAACTTTGTTCAGCCCTCTCTTCGACTGGGCGCCGAAAGTCAAAGCTACGATCTGTCCTCGGCAACTTCACGCTTAGCCTGCACCGTGACTTCGGTCCCGGGGGAGTTGCTAAGAGCCCCGGCAACGAGAGAATTGTATATGCCTTTTTATGAGACCAATTGGGTAACAGAGTAGGGGAACGCAGAACACGAACCTGCACAGCGTTAGTCGTTCGTTGCATTGCCCCTAATTGAGCTGGTTTTTGTTTTCTTTTTTTGAAAACCGGGGTTGCGATGTCTCACCGTCCTACGTTTTCACCATTTGTGACTCTGGAGTGCCGTACTTTCTGCGCATCTCCCGAATGCAAGGTGAGTCTCTCGGTTCATCCGGGCTTCTGCTACACTCGTGGCCGGCACTTGCAGCCGAGGTGACGAAAATAAATGTGACACGTTGCATGAGTATTGTGACCTTTTATTTATTTTTTTATCGCGGTGCTATGATGAGTATTTATTGATACATGCATGAAGAAATAACTTAAACAACATCACACGAACGAATATATATCGACAGCCTAGAAGTATATTGCCAAAGCTGCCTTTCCTGTCATTCCAAGGACTTGGCAGTAAAAGCCTAGTATGAGTGGTGTATCTATATGTGTCACACTCTCACACGCGCATATAAGTGTTTCGTCCCGTATCATCGAGACATAGAGCGCAAAAAAGACAGCTTCCCGGTATTACACCGCACGGTCCACACGAGAAGAGACAGGGACGTCTGAAGCAACAGGATGGCTCACAAAAGACACAAATTGTTATTTTGTAAGTAGACAGCGGGGACGGCCATTGGATACAAAGGTACCGGGACAATTTTAAGAAGCCAGCCACCAAACGTGTGCGAAGGTATTCTCTAGGAGCAGAGATCAGCGCTTCGCTCCAGATTGCAAGCAAGGCCACGTCATTCCACGTGGTATTTTTCGCCGAGGTCCCAGTCGTAGTCTCCGCAGAACCCGTTCAGGATGGGCTGCGTCGGGATGCCACGCCTGCAACAGAGATTAGACAAAGCGCCCAGGAGTAGCTCGACTTGCCGCCAACGAACACTCATCATCATCGTGATCATATCACTCTTTTGCTTTCTTAGACCTTTAGCCTTCCTTTCTTGGTACGAAAAATCCTTATGTAGGCTGATTCCAAATGAATTTAATAAATAAAAAATAAACATAAATAAATAAACAAACAAATGAACGAACAAACTGAACAAAAAATATTCATACAAATAAACCCACGAAGAAATAAAAATAAAACAATAATTCAATAAACTCATAAAAATAAGTCCACAAGTAAACCAATAAGTCAATTACCAATAATTCAAGAAACATTCAACGAAAAACCTATGAACCAATAAAGCAGCAAATAAAGAATTCAATAAACCAATACATCAATCAACTAATGAAAGACTAAATTATTCAGCCAATAAAACAATATATCAGTCAACCAATAAACCCATAGTCCAGTCAACGGATGAATACAATAATTAAACAAGTAAACGAATACATTTATAAAAAAATAGCTCAGTCAACAAATTATTTAACCAAAAACAATGAATCAATCAAATAACGTACCAAAAAATCAGTAAGCCAATAAGCCAGTCAGTCAATCAATCAATCAATCAATGACTCAGTCATCCAATCCAACAAACCCAGAAATCAAACAATAAACCCAAAGTTTAACCAACCGATAACTCAATATCAAATATTAAAGCAATATATTAGTCAGACTAAGCTAATGTGTCGATCAACTAATATACCAACAAATAAATCAACCAACAGGCCAATCAATCAATCAACCGATTAACCAAATAAACCAGACAATCAACACACAAATAAGTAACTCAACAATTTATTCAACCCTTTAATATACAAATTAGCCAATCAAGTAATCAATCAAAGGAATACTCAATCAAGTAATCTATCAATTATATAAATAAATAAATAAATAAATAAATAAGATGAACTCTCCGAGAAGACCTTTATGCATCCGAAGAAACTCCCACGCCAGTGGAAAAGGTAATAATGAGTAACGCTGAATATTGATAAGATCGCAATTTTCCGTCGAAAGTCGAGTTTTTTTTAGAGCGCAGCTATTATGGTACGTTTACACTTGCGGATCCGCTAGCGAATCCGCCCAGCGGAAACGCGGCGGCGAGCTATGTATTGCAACTCCAACGCCCTATAGGTGGCGGGGCGGTAGTTCCAAGATGGCGGAAGACGGGGATAGATTCTCCAGGATATCCCGTGTGCCTACTCGCGCTGACGCTGTTCAGCGTCTAAATATGATTTATTTGTCTACAAATGCGAAGCGGTTAGGGAGGGATCATATTACAGGTGACCGAGATGGTAGTGCACGGTAGGAAAACGAGCATGCTGTTATTTAAAAGTTGCAGAAACCTCAAATTGCGAAGCTTTGTGGTGAGCGAGCGCGTTTTAGGCACCGGCCATGTTAATGTTTGTGGCAGAATATTTTTGAGGGTGACGAAGATATGTTTGCGGCTTTGCCTGGCCATTAGTTCTCTAAAAAGAAACGGTGACCGTCAAGCTTCGGAAGAGCAGCGTTCACAGTATTGGTGTCTTCCCGTCACAGCTTCTCAAATCGCTGCTCACCGTCTTGGTTTTAGTGTACTGCAACAAGTAATCAAACTGCTCTATGGTTATTGAAAGAAAGTTTGTTACCGCAGGCTACCGCGCAGTGTAGCATTACAACCGCAAGCTGGCGCTGCGCCTTTGAAGCACAATTTTCAGTGCGCGCCAAAAGCGTTGCCATGCTCATCTCTAAAAAAAAAAAAAAAAAAAAAAAATGTTGTAGTTCTTACATTTCTTGGCACATATACGACACTCCAAAACTTCAGTTCGCCGTGCAGCCCACTGAGGTCAAACTGACGGCCCCAACTTTTACGAGAGGCTTGATGGCGGCGCATTATAAGATATTAAAGAGCTAAAGTACCGAAAAAAGTACAAAAAAAAAATTAAAAAAAAAAGAAATAAAAAAACGAGGTTTTGCAGTAGGGCCAAGAAAACCCCGATTATTATTATTATTTTGTTTTTACAGTCATTTACACTTACTTAGGCTATTTTAAAGAGTTGCACTACTCGGCTATCAAGCCGCTCGTGAAAGTTGGTAGCGCTGGTTGAACGTCAGTGCGCTGTACGTCCAACTGAAGTTTAGGGGTGTCGTACGCTCTGCAAAAACTGCCTATTAACATAACCGGCGTGTTTTGGGGTTTTATTTATTGCTCTATCAAAAATAAATATTTTAATATACCGTAATTTTTTTGTACCGTTTTATTTGCAACATTGCGGCACCTCTGGCCAAAACTGCGCGTTCTAAGCTCGCGTCACGAACGGCTGGCTAACACAGACCCCCTTAAAATGCTTCGAGAATTTCTTTATGTGCTTTGTAATCACCTGAAAGCAAGTACGGGTACTCTGTCTTTTTGAAGTGCTTGGAATAAATGGTCATGTTCCTTGTAACGGCCTTAAAACGCGAACCCATTCCCGATTTGTATTGCTCGACATACCGTTGCGCGACGAGTTTTCTCCTACTTATGGCAAATAATAGACTTTCTGTAGACCGTACTATAGAGTTCTTCAATATTCGTGTAGCCAGGCACATAGCCAGGATTTTGTTTCGGGGGGGGGGGGGGGGGGGGGGACACATATGACAAAATGCTGTATGAGGGGGAGGGGGGGAGGGGAGGCCCCAGCAAAATGGAAGATTTCGGGGGGGGGGGGGGGAGGCCGGGTCCCATGGCTCCCCCCCCCCCCCCCCCCCAGCTACGTGCCTTGCCTGGCGGGAGCGTTTTCCGTCACGTTGAGTACAGATTGAGCTGGCGGCCATGCACAAGACCAGAAATCCGCAGCGTATGCGATACACGAAAAGTCCGTAATGAAATTAGACATCCCGGCCCTTCGTGCAAGGCTGTTTGTTGCAAGGTGGAACACAATAATTCCTTTTTAACGCGCTCACGGCTTCACGCATCAAGGCCGACAGTCCCTGCCACCGTTTCCGCGCCGCCGCCGCCGCCGCCGTCCCCACTCCTCTGGTTCTCCGTTCATCCGCGGGAGGGCGAGCGGCGCGCTGGAGTCGCCGAACTAGGCGTTTTCGCTGACCGGAAGTGACAATCTTGCGCAGCGCGACGGTGCCTACGTCACGAGTACGCGTTCTTCCGGGAGCAGCAACGCCCGGGAGAGACAGCCGAGGTGGGAACTCTCGCGCCTTCTCGTCATATTTGACGGGTTGTAACGAGAACAGATGCCGCAGCCGGCTTTGGCGCACCGCTCGAAGGAAATTGATCTGTAAACACAACCCGTTCGTCGCCGCTGCCACCGGGAGCGAATCCGCTTACGCGGCAGCGGATTTCTCCCCAGGTGTAAACGTACCAGTAGGCGCCCGTTTCCGGGTGGAGCGGCGTGACGTGTGACGTCACGAATGTAAAGTTCTCCCACTAAATTTGGCGGGAAAACTTTTTGCTATATTTAGCGGGGAAATTTTACCCTCGTGACGTCACACATGACTTCTGTTGTGTTAATGGGAAACGTGACGTCACGTTTGACGTTACGTGACGTCAGGCTAAATTGAGCGAAAAAATTTAGCAAAAGGAAGTTTTTGTAGACCGTTTTCGCCATTCCGCAACGCCCTCCGCAACAAGCTACGATACCCGGAACTCTACAGTCAAGGCTTTTGGCGAGCAGGCGCAGTAGCGGCTTCTTCGTTGTGGAGGGCTTAGCGGAGGGGAAACGCGGTCTACGAAAACTCCCTAATGAAATGTTTGCTATATTTCTCGCTAAATTTAGCCTGAAAAGGTTGGTAAATTTCCCGCTAAATTTAGCGGGAATATTTCTCCGCTATATTTAGCAGGAATATTTCCCCGCTAAATTTAGCGGAGAGATTTTCGCTTAATTTGGCGGGAAATTTAGCGAAAATTTCCCGGTAAATAAGAGGGAAGCAGGAGAGGATGAGGGGAGGGTACGTTGGGGGGGGGGGGAGCAGGGACATACCCTCCCCTTCGTACTCTCCCCTTCCTCCTCAAGAGCTGGCCCTAATTCGGCATTACGGAGAGTTGAGTAGTACGAAGTGGTATGGAGCCTAAATGGCGCTTTTTGTTTTAGAAACACCCGTAATGGGGGGGGGGGGGGGTGTCTGATTATAGTCGGCGGCGAAACGACTAAGTTGATGTGCAGGCCATCGAATGCGTCTACAGCCGTACTTGACGACGCTAGTTTTCATAAAATAAACAAATGAGGAGCCTAATAGAAGATTGTGAAGGAGAAGGTGGACAGCTTGATTAGTAATGTGCTAAATCTGGAAGAACAGATGAACTCGCGAGTTTACTACTCACTCTTTGCTTTTCGTAAACAACCAACTTTTAGTGAACTTCGCAGACTAAAGTTTGTATAATGACGCGGGGTATTTATGAAAACAAATAATATTGTCTCGGCCTGTTTTATTGAGAAAAAAAAATATATTGAGTACTTGATAAATATTTCGATAGTCCGACCTAGGCCGAGAAACATTTTTTTTAATGATCAACCCTGCTAAAGTATTCATTAACAGCATTTCATAATATTGGTCTAGAAAAATTTTCTTACGGAGTACCCAAGATATGATCATATAAGTGACAGGCCCGTCAAATTAAGTCTGACAAATGTCTTCCGTAAAATTGGCCAAATAAAATTAAAATACGCAGAAGTAACTCGGAAAGTTGTAAATTTTGGGCGTCGCCAGAGACTAAAAGTAAAGCTTTATTCGCTATCGACAACGCTGAACTCGGGTGACTTTTAATCAGACGGATTTTTTTCGGCGTCAAATATTGTGGACCCCTGAACTGGCGAGTCTTAACACAGCGTCTGCAAAATCCTTGCGCGCAAGCACGCACGCACGCACGCACGCACGCACGCACGCACGCATGCACGCACGCACGCACGCACGCACGCACGCACGCACGCACGCACGCACGCACGCACACGCGCGAAGCGTCGTCACTATA